AGAAAGAGGACCAGTGGTAGAAGAGACGTCTTCCGTCAGGTGGTTTTTTTCCAACGAGTTCTTGCGGCCGCAGCGGGCGATTTTTCGCCGGAGTTGACGATTGAGCAACAGTTGATGTAGTCAGTAAACAGCACAATTCCCTCTTACCTACGCTTCGTGCCTCCCGGCGGCCGAGCGAATTATCGAGCGCTTCACTCTTCCTCTTCTTCGACAATAATGATGGCTAAAGCTACGACGATGTGAGGGTGGCTGTCGATCGCCTGTTGCCCAAGTCCTAAAATAAATTAACAGCATGTCACGGATGAAGACCAGGAGGCACTGATGACCAGGACAAAGACAAAGACCGCGCTGCTGGCACGTCTCTCCAGCGCCAGAACGCCACACCGGTTACAGAGCGGTGAAAGACGTTCTGTTTTCTCTCTCCCTCAGAGTATGTCCGTCGGAGAGACGGACAGACGAATCGATATTTTTAATTCCTGCCCGGCAAATCCACTGGCGGCGCAACGATTTTCTGCTCGTCGCCTAGTGCTGTTCACCAATCACTATCTTGTCAACCTCAGAAGGAGGAAAAGCACGTCGTTCGTCAGTCGTTGCCGCTGATACCGACACTCATGTACTGATGTTTGAACAATTGCACCACAAGTAAAATCGAACGTGATCGACGCGGCAGTAGCATTATATAATTATGTGTGTTTATAATTAATGCAAAAACTGAATGGTTCGTAAATAGGCTGGTTGTCATTCATTGAACGAAGATGTGTAAACCTTTGGCATTAGTCAGTTCTCAAGACCCGCTATTCTTGTCTGGTCAGTGAAGCAGTACATTTACTATGGTTCCTCAGTTGTTCTCTCCGTTGATCAAACAACCTTCGTTGGCTGGATAGCAAACCATATGATCTTAGGCCTGTCCCTTCGGTGTCTGCATGTGGCGCATAGAGTTCTAACTTTTATGACAATGCGCGTTGTCTTCATGGTAATCGCTGCAGCAAAAAAAGGTCCTCATTTGTCTCCCTGGGTTGGAACCAACCCTCATGCCGGACCAGTGGAAATTCATATGCACCGGTTTAGACTAAATGCCTAGGTAGCAACTAGGAAGTATCGCCTGTCGCTAACTTGAAACTTTAGCTTACCCTCGTTGCACATTCCATGCATACCGTATTTTTCTCTACCTTTGACCTTGTATAAAGACGTTCGACCGCAATACCTTGCTCTTTACCTGGGCTCAGGCAATACTAGCTATGAAAAGATCGAAGAAATCGACGAATAACGCTTAATTAGAACTGGAGATCGGCATGATCAGGTTGGAGAGATTCTACGAAGAAGGAGGGTCGGTCGATGCACGTTCCATTCCGTCAGGTTTGTCCTCCTCAGTAACATGAGGAAAGACACCCACGCCAACCGCTTCAATTCGACCGTTCTGCCGGCGATGTTTTATGACTTTGAAACGTGGTTGCTCCCGAAAACCGAAGAGTGCCAGCTGTGTGTTACAGAGAGAAGTAGGAAAAGAAGAATTGCGACCACGCCCAAACAGTGGGCGGAAGTGGAGGACGTTGTCGTCGAAAGCAGTACGGAGAAGCTATGATGTGCCGGGCACGAGTTCGGTTCATCGACGGAAGATGATCACCGACTGGTACCATTAACGAAGAACTAAGCCGCTTGGTCGCGCGTCGCGACGGTGGGAAAATCCTATCATGAGCCGGAAAGGCTGCTCTTGGAGGGAGAAGGTTCGAAACCCTGACGAATGGCGGCCGTTCTGTGGTCGGTGCGATTCGTCGCCGATTATTTGCCGATCCCGATGATCCAAGTGACAGCGGCGTTAAGAAACAATACAGCAACAGTTCAGAACGAAGGGTGATGACGGCTGGAAGTCAGGCGACCGTAGACGAAGGATATAACCGGTTCATTTGAATTGAATCTGGCTCATTTAAAATACACGGTTAAGCAGAACTACGTACATATCAGAGTAGAATTCGACCAGGTCGTACCTACCACGTGTCGCTGCCGTCACGGCCATGAAGCTTGAAGATCGCTATATCATTGAAGAATTTTTAGGATACCGAGTATCCCTGTTTGTAAGCTGTGTCCTATTGTAATTGAAACTGTAAAGTGCCAACTTTAAACAAATACTTTAAACTTTTCAGCAACGTCAAAGATAAGTGTTGCGATATGAAAGCATGGTCATCCACATGGCCTCTGTAACACTTTTTCCACCAGATGTTTTGTAAATGAATCTCGCTCCGCTGTTTGAGGAGCTGAAATTTGTTCGCACTTCTTTGGATCAGCTCAAAGGCCACATTCAGCAGGAATACGCCTACTTTCATGGAGCACTTCACGCGGAAAAGGATAAGTACCTAAGGCTTGAAGAACACATGAAAGACTCAACGGAGCTGCATCAGGCGCAGGTGCTGAACCTCAGACAGGACATTCAAGGCCTGGAGGGTCGTCTGCAGTACCAGCTTCGCGAACAGCTACGGGATTTGCAGGATGTTGTCGGGCGCGTTCAGAATAAGGCAGATTCGCTGGAGAAGCAGATCAAAGAAATGCAGCATATCGTTGGTATTGAGGACGTACGACATACGTCCAATAGCAGTCAAGCCTTTCGGGCGTTCGTGCTTTTTCTTCAGGTAGTCGTGACTGTGCTGATGGCTGTGTGGCAGGTAATTGGACCATGCATTCGAACCAGGGCACGCCTCATTCTGATGTTCGTCACGTTATTCTGTCTTTTCTACATACTGAATCGCTTCCGAGTTCCGAGAGAGGTATCTTGCCGATGAGTGAACAAGGTGCTAAGCCAGCTAGCCATATTCTTCTACTGGCCTAGGATGAACTGTCCAGTGAATGTTCATCGTCTGATCATCAAGAACTCAGACGTTTATGCGTTTTCAATCGTCGTTGACTTCGTTCTCTAACTTTACCAAAAGGTATTAAGCTTCGAAAAAGCATTTTGCATGGTTATATAATACGAGTGTTAATAAAAACACTAGAGTATGGTATTATGATCGTCATGACGCCTTGTTCCATAGCCCAGTCTCGGTGCCCCTTTGTGAAGAGCGGGCAACGACCGAGGCGCAGGATCGCAATGGCGGTCAAAGTACACCTAGGGCATACTGCCTGACAGCGACGGTACTCTTGAAGTTGTTTAATGTTACCTGAATGGTCGGCTAACAAGGCAGCGATGTACAGTTCTGAGAACGCTTTGCGTATGCTCTGGAACAGTAATGCCTGGGCGACAGACATCACAATTATAATCCAGGAAAGAAAGATGAGGAAGACAGCGTCATCCAATATTATGTCCACAAGAAGCAACGTAAAATCGCCCGCAATCTCGAATTCCCACTGAACGGAACACCAAGTGGAAAGGAAGCAGGCGAATATGAAGAAGTGATTATGAAGCTGGGGATATTTTCTTCAACACTAAACATAGATTCTGGTTAATGGATTTGCAAAAAGACTTTATGAACGAAACACTTGAAAATGCATGTCTGTAATAGTTGCCTTATCAGCTACCTCAGGGCACTCGAAATATATTTTGTCCTGCACATTCGTCTATGGATGTTAGCAAAATTTATTTGGTGCTCGTACCTGCCCTTATTTAGTCAAACTTAAAGGTGAGGTGATGCATTCATTGCATTGCAGGTGTTTAGATACCATACAGCCGAGGATTGTTTACACGGTCATTCTAGGCGACTAGATTAAAGGGGGCAGTGCTTTTACATAGGTTAAATCCGGTATTAGAAATTTAAATGTTACGGCAGAATTGCGCTCGGCTGCGAACCTTTCCACAGAACGCTACAGATCAGTTTCAGATGATAACAACGAAACACGGTCATCTGCAAACAGCAGCCTTCTCGTTTCCACATCTCCTATATCGATACACTCATCGCTTTGGCTGGTCCTGACTATTCTATCCATGTACAACGCAAACAGGAGAGGTGAGAGGACGGATCGTTGGAGCAAACCAGTGCCAACGCTGAACGGTTTCGACTGAACGCCATTTACTCTGACGCAGCAGTTGCTATCAAGATATGGTGATTGAACAGTCCACAGCAACTGGCCCATATGTTCGCAGGCATGCAGATAGATTGTTGCGCGGGATGCGGTCATAGGCTTTCTTCAAGTCAACAAAACACGTATGAACCAGATGAGGGAATTGGCAGATTTCGGATCGATCTGGCATAAAGGGAAGATCAGGCCAGATTTGTTTCGGCCCGATCTGAGGATACTCACACTGTTTTTACTGAATCTTAATGTCTGCTATTCCGCCGAACCTCCTTTTCAGTACCATTGCGTAGACTTTCCAGGAGGCTCAATGCTGCAATGGTGGTCCCGTTCTTGAACAAGTGTACCACCCGTTTTCCAATCCCTCTGTTCCTTCCCCGTTTTCAGTGCAATTTGACCTACGAAGATGTTAGCACCAAAATGTCGTGCTAACCTATAGAGTTGAGCATCGTAGAGTGTATTTCATTGATTCCAACAGTCTTGCCACATTTCAAGTTTTTCACAGTTCCTGGAAATTCAGCTACTGGAAAACCATTAGTCGTTGACTGATGC